ATAATTGGGGGTCCCGTATCTATCTCATTCATATTGTGTTCTTTAGATCGTTCCGAAGCAAAGAGGAGTTCGACATATGATTTCCATACCTCTAGACACTTTGATGGTTCCGAAATAATATGATCGTTAGTGTCCAGTATGAACGTATTTCTGTTGTTTAATTTTTTTGTTGTCATTTCCCTTATTTCCTTATGCATATTGCGGCAGTCGTACTTCACTTCATATTGTTCTATCTTGTCACATTTTTCAGAGAACCATTTTAACTTTGCCTCTCTAATGTTTTTCCTTATGTTTTTGCGAATTTCACGGTACTTTGTGTTTCCGTCTTTCGTCCATCATGTCGAGGATCTCTTGTGTCATCCACTCTTGTTTTTTGTTTTTATCCTTTTGCAAATATTTTTCACAATTTGTTTGTATAGAGTTTTTGAATTTATCCCATTTGTCTTGTGCTTTACTCGTGTTGTTGTTGATTTTCTTTAAATCGTTAGTCAGCGATTCCTGCACTTGTTTCCGAATATTTCTCTCGGACAGTTTCCCTATGTCTATGTTGTTCTTGGAGGGTGCCTTCTTGATTCGTTTCAATCTCAGTTCAAACCTATACACAACCGGAATGTGGTCTGAGGGAACATCTGCTCCTGGATAGGTTTTTGCAGATCTTATTGAGTTTTTGAATCTGTTGGGTATAGAAATATAGTCGATTTGATTTCTAACTATTTTTTCCGCAGAGTCTGCTGGCGATTTCTACGTGTAGATTCTGCGAGGGGGGAGTTTGAATATGGTGGTACTGAGTAGTAAGTTATGATCCTAGCAGAACAGTATAAGAGGGTTCCCTCTTTCGTTTCTTTCACCGAGTCCGAAATCCCCTGTGGTGCCTGGCACACGCCCATTAGGATGGTTATCTTTCTGTTTGTTCATCATCTTAATCAAACGTTCTAGTTGTTCATAGAATTCTTCAATAACGGCGTCGTCTTTGCCTGAGAAAGGTGTGAAGGATCTAACCGTTGGTTGGATATGTGGGGAAACAACTATGCCCACTCCGTTCCTATGTTGTGAGTTGTCATTGCCAGAGTAGTATACTGTGTGGTCAAGTATCTTGCATTGTCCAGAGTCGGGCCAGTGGGTCTCACTGACGCCCATAATGTCTATATTCAGCCTATTCGTTTCTTTCATTATGTTATGGGTTTTTCCGCTTTCGTACATACTTTGTACATTCCATGTAACGATTTTAACCTGTTTTGGGGTTATTTTTCCGTTTCTCATGTTGTCGGGTTTTCGCATGTTCCCGACCTGGGAGGCCCGACAGTCTAATTGTGATCCTCCCCTGCCGCATCTATGAAGCCATGAAACCTATACTAGGGGAGAGTAATGGAGTAGTTTCCCGTTGCTTTCTCCATCGCTGTCTAAACGCCTTTTTGTGGTTACCACTGCCGCGGTTCAGTGCTAGTTTTGGTCCGCCCCGGGTATTTCATTTCCCCGGTACCACCCATATCTGGGAGACATTCCCCTATCCGCCACCTGGGGAGGCGCCTCGATGGGGGGCTAGCAACCCCACCCGGGTGTTATTAATTGATCGACAAAAATTGGAACAATCCGCAAAAGTATCGTGAATATGCGTTGAATTTTCAAACCTAGCTGAAAGTAATGGCTCTATAAACCACTGTGGTAATATTCTGTTGACAGGATGTTCCAGCTGCTGTCTCTGGAGAGTGATATTTTCCGCAAAATCGTAAACCATAATTTGGGCATTCAAAAGTTTCACTAGCGATAATCACGCAGCTCGGAAGTTTGCCCGGATAAATGTGTAGTTTAGTCAGTAGTAGAATTTCATTTGATTTATTTCGCTGTTTTTATTTCTGCACTGATTAGTAGCCGTAGCGTTTAGTTCCCCGGCTGCTCTATCCAACCTCCTCTAGTTCTACACCTCCACGTCCTCAAATCCTCCCCAGCACCCAGTAGATACTTCACACTAAGTGTTTGGTGTTCAGCAGGAATCAACAGCTAAGCCGAGACTCGAACGCACAACGATACCGAACTCTTCGGCGCCAGTCCAAGATTCGATCTTCCAGCATTAGATAGCATCCAGTATCTGCGTCGTCAGAATGAGCGATGGCGGCGCAGCTGACGTCACCGCGCCTGCGCCATTACAGGTCCACTCTCGATTCTGATTGGCTGTTTCAGGCTTGTACAAACTGCATGCAGGTTTAGTAACTTTAACTTTATCTTTAGGTCGATTTGTTTCATTGCAGCTGCAAGAACTTTCTGGTTCTTTGACCATAGTTTTCAATTTTCCAGATTTTTTACTTTCAGTGCACTCTTTCAACCAACTCACTAGGTAAATCTGCATCCAGTTTGTACATAAATAGTTGAGAGAAAACGCCGTCTTCAACCGAGCACCTTTTGCGTCACATCCACAGCTTGAATATTCGGGCCGCTGGGGCCGAGCCGGACCTGCAGCTTCATTAATAATCATCAATCTCTCTCATCATAATTCGACGATTGGCTTTCCTAGTTAGCTTGAATTTGCAACAGTTTAACTGTAGAACTTTTTAGAATTGATTCGTTATGGTCTCACACACACTTTGAATGATCGCTTAAATATGCTTCAATATTCACAACCGATTCTATCGGGCATACAAATGCCGAATTATTTAGTCGACATGTGTTGAGGAGCTTCGCCGGAAACCCGTTGGAAAATGTTCGGGCAGCAATCCATCAACCAGATTAGCGACTGAATATATGGAAGTTAGCCGATGGAAGAGTGCAAATTGGGTCTGCTCCAAACCACACATGGGTTATTTAAAGTTTTCCCATTTCTGAAGAGAAATATTGAGCAAGCGCCAGACTAACTGGAAAATTCATCAGAGCCTTCAGCCAAATAGAGCCAGAAGACGCTCAATGCTAAAACATTGAGACTAAACTCAGTGGAACGGCCTCGGCTGCAAAAAGCTTCCTCCAACTGACCAAAACTGAGAAAATCACCCTTATGGATGTTTGTTTGTGAATCAACCTCCAGCAATGAGATTCCTGGCTTAACATTGAATTCACTTTGCAGATTAAATCCCATCAGTTCGCTTGAGCAGACTGAAATTGATTCGCTGTTAAAAACAGTTTAATTTGCAGTATCTTAATTAACTAGAACTAGATAGTAAATAGGATTAGCCTAGAGGCAAAGCGCAAAGCTCAGCTCAGAAACTGTGTAGTTTCGCTTGAAAAATACCAATTTCAGTTTCTAAATTAATATTTCCTTAGTGGGAAAAATGTATTTTCTTCGTCCCACGATCGCATTTAGTATGAATGCGTTTCATACAAAACGCGAGTAATTAGACTGCCTCCGTTCTCTTTATTTCTCGTTTACTCGACAGAACACAAAATGCTAATTTCAAAATGTAATTGACCATTTCAAGGCAGTCGGGAAGTATAATTATTATGGCTTTATACGGTTAGAAATTCAATTTGTTTGGCAAAATAGCTGCTGTTTGGGGATATTTCCGTTTTCTATTTATTTCAGCAAATATTTCAGGGTGACAAATGAAACAGCGTGAAACTCAGGTTGATTTTTTAGATACAGATTGTTCATGTTTATTCATTTGGATTAACCATTTGGAAATGGCAATTTTTGAAGCTTGAAGCGATGGTCTTCGCATTCTGTAAAGAAAAACTCGGAAATTAAAATTTCAAGTTGCAAAAATAGAGAAGGTCTGGAGAAATGCTCATTTTCCGAAGTGACAAGTGCTCTCACTATAGTCAAAGTTTAAAAGTCCTCAGTCCGAATTTTTGCACAAAATATCATTTATTTGCAGTTTTAAAACTTAAAATAGCAAATATTTATTCTAAAGTAACAATGATTTTTGATGCGTCTGACGTTTAGGCATTTTAAATTACAAAACTCCATAAACCATTATTTACAATTGAAGAAATTGCGAAGGGTTGAACAAAACCTTATTTATTTGCAGTTTTTAAGGCAAAGCTAACAAATTTGTACTCTAAAATATCAATTATTTCCACTGTATTTAATCATCTTACTTTTTGTAAAAAAGAACCCCAATATCAACAAATTTCAAGTTGCCAGAACAATTATTATTTGGAGAAAATCTAATTTATTTGTTGTTTTAAGCGCAAAATTGGCAAGTATGTACTCTAAATTACCAATATTCCCACTATAAGTAAATTTTAAGCGTTTTATAATGCAGAACGCCAGAAACCAGCATGTAAAGTAACACGAATTTTGAATGTTTGCAGAAAATCTCGTTTATTTGCTGGTTTAAAGGCGAAGTTGGCCAATATGTGCTGTAAAGTGTCAATTGTTCCCACTGTATTCAACGTTTGGACATTACGTAACAAAAAACTAATTTATTTGCTGGTTTTGCACAAAATCACTGTTTCAACATGCAATTATTGCCACTATTCGCAAAGTTCAGACATTTTATTCAGTAAAATTCCAAAAATCACAATTTTAAATAGCAAATGTTTAGCCAAAATTTAATTTTCTTCTGTTTTAAGCTGAAAATTAACAAACTTACAATACTTAACGTGCCAATTACTCCCACCAAATTACGTATTTCCTTGGTTTCTGTTGCAAACCATTAATTTAGAAGATTTTTTCAATTTTAGTCCCATTGGGGGTGGAAAAATCACATTAAACCAGGATTATTCACACTTTTCGAGGAACAAATTGAAATAATTTGGCTTAGAGTCGATTTATGTGAAGATGAAGATGTCGCCCATTTATTCAGTTGCTATTTGAATATTTCCAGCAAAACAATTAAAAACTGCCATAATTACATGAATTAAATACATATTGAAAGCGATACATGTGAGCTAAAGAAATGTCAATTACTTCTCCTAAACCATAAATTTGTTACTCATTTAATCAAACTTTTATCTTTAGTCAGCAATTGCACCAAAACATTAATTTAGTTTAATTAAACTAATTAATTTAGTTGATTTAATTAATGTAATTAATTTTGTTAATTAATTTAATTAATTAAATTAATATTTCCTTCACTTGTCTCCTTAACTTAATGAAGTTCAGTATTTTGTCCAAGTTGTAAACGTTGGCCTAAATTTCAATTTATTTAACTTGTCTTTGACTGTTTTTTTTCTTTAATTCTAGTTGCTCTCAATTTTTGAAAAAGTCTGCTAATTTGTTAGGAGGATTATTTGAGGAAAATTTGATTGCAGCGGTTGCAAATTGTACTGAAAATTGGAAAAAATCGTACCAAATCCACAAACATTCCTACTGAATTTAGTTTTTTTCACTTCATTCCCTTTGGTCGAAAAAACTTTCAACTACGTGAACAATTCAAAATTGAGCTTTATTCCGAGGTGCGTATTAGATATGTATAGATTATAAGTGACAATTACTCTCACTATATTAAAATGTTATGCTCAATATCAAATTTGAAGTATCAAGACATGGACTAATTTGAAGAAAATGTTATCTAATCGTCTATAAGCTTAAAGTGTTAATTTTACCACTTACTTGTTTTTTTTTTGTTACTCTTTTCGTAGCAAAGCTTAAACAAGAAATAGAAAATTGAAGTTGATTTTACTATTAAATTGAAAATTGAACACAAAATATAAAATTATAAAATCTGAAAACTTTTTCTCCTAACTTTTTGTTAAATTAATTCTCTTACTTGAACCATTTGAAAGGAAAAAAATCAACTTTCAATTACAAATTATATTAGAAATTTTCATAACTATATTGCATGTTGTATGTTAGAAAAGCGACAAAACTCAGTGGCAAATAATCGAATCCACTCCACACAAGCTTGGCCACACTAAATCTAATTCGCCTTGCACGACAACTTTTCCTCCACCGATTTTTCTGGAAAATTGCAGGAATATTTCTTTGTTCGCAGGACAATGACTGCCCTTTGTTTCGTTTGTAATTTGCCGATACTCTCCCATCAAGTCGGTTTGGTCTGGCAAGGAGGAAACGGATGGGACGATCTAGTTAGAGAGCAGGTACGTGTTTAATAGAGACAGATTTCCATGCGGCTTTATTTATCCTGGACCGTTCAAGCGCGAATTCATCAATCATCCAAATTGATAAAACTGCAGATTCTGGACCATGGAAGCAAACGAAACTTTAATGGTCCCGAGCTAAGGTCGTTTATTATCATCAGGAAAACCTTCAAACAATAACGCCTTGCTTACCCTTTGACTGTATTCATATTACTAGTAATTGGCCCCAAATGAATATTCGAGTCAAAAAGTGCACACAACTTTTGCGCAGTCCGGTTTCCGGCTTTTAGTAAGTCAACATCCTAATAATTTGTCTTTTTCAGGCAATAGATCACGGTTTTCTGTTAAGTGAATCCACTTATGCAATCCAAGGGCCGGTAAGAATGCGACGCTCGTATTTCGCTTACGAACTACAACATTAACAATCAAACACCACAATGTTACTTACCTATTATCATATAGCATTATTTTGCTCTGTTTATTTTTGTGCCATGGCTTTAGACTTAGAATTTTAAAGCGTAGATCAGTTTATTTGCTTATCTTGGAATGCAATAGTGGAGCTACTTACACAACCATGAAAATAACACACTCTTGTAAATAATCATCTAATCAGCGAATCGGGCTTGATTTGATTACCTCTGGAAGCAGTAGAATGCATCAGGACCAAACAATAAGGCGAAGAATTGGCGAAATTTTTTCCAACAGATCATACAACGCAAACCTTTTGAGTCAAGTATTGCTTGAAATTTTTCTCTAACGTTTCGCTTGCAACTGCAGCAGGCATTCTCAAACACCATGCCAACGAGCTGGAGTTTGCGTTCAATATCTGACAATTTTTTTTCGTGTATACTGGATTTTTTTTCTGTATTAATTGGAAAATCTAGTTCCAATCAAGGCATAAAATGTATAAAAAAGGTTTCTGTACAGTGTGACCCAAATTTGAATAAACAGTTTCCCATTCGATTTCAGCTTAGAGAGTTTTCAGGATCCACAGCTACGTTAAGAAGGTTTCAAACCAGGAAAATTCATTTTTAAACATTTTCCAACCCGGTCAGTAAAAAATAATTGACCAACATAACAATTCAAATAAAACATTTGAAAAAAACCGTGTAAGTAATCCATTCGCAATGAGAACTGTAGCAGCTAGTTAGCAATCGGCCCTCGTAAATGGGAAAAGTGCAACAAGGCCGAGCATTTCCGATATTTTGCTCTCGCTCTTGACCATGGCGAAAGTCCCCTAAAAAATCGTCGCTGTGATACGGGGTGTATTGCATCAGTAACGTTGAACTGCTTCCACCAAAGCAAAATTCCAGAATTGAAAAGAACGACTTAACTTAGAAAAAAATACCACTTTCTGAGTCTGACCGCGATTGTGCCCCCGCCAAAAAATCCACTTAAAACCCAATAAAACCCCATTCAGGCTGCAACACTCACTTAGAAAAATAGCCCACACTTCCTGATTGACTGCAGGATAGAGCTTTTTGGTGGAAAATAAAGCTGTTCTCTTCTTTTGCAGCTCGAAGAATCGACAATCCGACAGCGTTTGGGAGGACGTCGCGACTCAGCCACCCAAATATGCTCCATCTCCCCACCGACCGAGACGCAGGAAAGTTCGCCTCCTGCTGGAGGCCGCAGGAGACGCTCTTCTTTAGCGCAACTGACCGATATCCTGCGGGAATGGGGCGGAGCGAAGAAGCAGCAAAAGCAGCTTCATCGCAGGGAAACTCTGGCTGATTTAGCGCGGAGTTTGCCTTGGGGCCGCCAAACCACTGCAGAAACTGGACCAACGCCCAGTATATGCACCAAGTAGGTGCAGGTGTTTTGCTAATTAGCTTTTTACTTGATTGTGTTTTTGTGCAGGCTAGGAATATTTGTAGCAGTACCAAGGGTAACACGTTCAACCAACACTTTTTCATCACCCATACGTAGTAGGACACATTACGGCTTCAATTCATTCATTTACAGACCAACACGAAACATGACCATAAAACTCAGGTTAGAAGGTGCATCCACAAAAACCTCCACACAAAGCGCACATAGTTAAACCTCCTCAAATTTCACAAATGCTTGTCGAGTGCTCTACAACATATTCTAGCGCATCGGCGACGTTACTAAAAATCACGTATTTTCCATTTCCGAAGGAAACGCAGAGAATCCAGTGCAGACTCTGGAATAAGGAGTTCGGGATCGAAATCACGTCGCGATTCACACCACAATGCCATTTCGGATTTCAGAACCGAAGTGGCCAAATTGTGGCAACGGAGGGAATCCGTAACGACCACAACGATCGTTAGTCCCAGCTCGGTTTCAGCTCGAAGAGATAGCGGAGAATCATCAAGAAGCGGACGACGCGACTCCACCTCGTATTCCCAACATGCATCTAGAAGAGGATCGGGCGAAAGCGGCAAAAGCAGTGAGTTTTACCTAATTTTTCAAATTAATTAAGCAACATGTGCACTATGCTCTCCGGGAATTTAAATGTTGTCAAGGGGAACTCGGAACCCTGTGCTGAATTTGAATTTGTGTCTCATTTTTTCGCAAAAACCAAGTATTTAGGGTAATTCCGGGAGAGCTGAACCACCGCCTGAGATGGACCAGTCGGGTATTTTCGACTGTACATGGTATATGAAGAATATTTCAACGCTACCCCGTCAACAAACGACTACCAGTTGCACTCCGATAGTAG